GGCTTGTGCGAGAAGCGAGACGGTCGGCGTGGGTGCTGGCGGCACATTGGAGTATGGAGTAGCGAGAGGTAGCAGGGATAGATTGAATCTGTAAGCAATGGTGTTGGCGTACTTCGAGGCCGAGAGGTGGATGGTGTCGGAGCCATCGTTGACGTTGAGGCCAAGGTACTGTGTTATGGTCAGCGACACCGTGATCGTGAGCTGGAGTTCAAGCTCGCCTTCAAACCAGACGGTGATGGAAGTGGTGGAGCCAATGTAGAGCAGGTCATCCACGTAGACGATCAGCAGGACATAGTCGCCGCTGCGTGACAGACCGTACATGCCCTGGTCGTGCGGTAGCTGGGCAAAGCCCAGGTCAGTGAGGATGCTGTGCAGGTACTGTTGCCATAGGCGCGGGGCCTGTTTGATCCCGTAGAGGGATTTGAGTAGCTGGCAGACCAGCGTTTGGTCAAGGACGTAGGTGTGGGGCTGCTTGACAATGATAGCTGCGTCGACCGAGGCGTAGAGGAAGGCAGTGGCGACGTTGATTTGTCGCAGAGAAAGGTGGCGAGTAGCAGCGACAGCGAGGAGAATTCAAACGGAAGTGTGGCGGCTGAATGGAGCAAAGGTCTCGGTGTAGTCGCTACCGTACTGCTGGTCGAATCCGCAAACCACCCATCGTGTCTTGAAGCGTTCGATTGTCCCATCTCCATTGGTCTTCACTCGGAAGACCCATTTCCCCGAGAGGATGGTTTTCCTCTTGGTTTGAGAAATCAGAATCAGCTTACAAGAGTTGCGTTCGTGCAATGCCACTAACTCTAGATCCATTCCTTCCCTCCATTTCTCCCCGTGTGGTCCCTGCAGCGCGCGCTTAACGTTCTTAGGCTCTTCGACTGGCGGCGGCTGCGGAGGGTGCACGGCTGCTACGAGGCCAAGGATTTGCAGACCAGTCTTGGTGTATCGGGGAAGTGTCGGATCCTTGGGATAGGCTACTTCGTCTCCCGCTTCAAGATCTGATACGAAACTGGTCCGACCCATTCTAAAATGTTGGTGTCGACACTGTGAGGTGTAACGTAACCAATGTCGGCGAAATGGTTGTAGGCGTTGGCATTCGCGCTTTCCCGAGGGTTTTCTTCGTCCATCGGCATGTCGGCGGAGCAGTAGGGAAGTGGTCCTATGGCTGCTAAAACGTCGATGACATTCTGCTCCTCCAGATCAGCTTCTTCTTCGGTCGAAGTGAACGTGCGTGCTTCAGCAAAGCCACCGGATGGGTCCTGGTTGGCTGCGATGTTCTCCAGATAATGGTTGAGGGTGAGGTTCTCGTAGAAAATGACATCACGTGCTGGTACTATTTCCTTATCTTCCACGTCAAAGATTTTCCAGGCCTGGTAGTGTTTTTCCATACTGAGGTGTAGACCCCATCTTGCCCGCTGCGAAAATCGTCCAGCTCGTGCAGTGTGCGGATGATACTGTACCATGCAGCCGAACACTCATAACAGTTTTGTGCTGCCCTACCTCCCTGTCCACAACAGATGCGGTAATGTGTTGTGCGGCAGAGAGCTTGACGTCAGAGGATTCTGCAGCATGACGGCGTGATTAATCGCCTCTGGCCACTGCGAGTTGGGCAGACGCATCCCAATCAGCAGCTTCCTCGTGGTGTTCTGGAGGGTTCGGTTCATCCTCTTTGCTATGCCGTTCTGTTGCTGGACGAAGCATGTCGAAGTGCACATGTGCTATCCACGGCAACTATCAAGAAACCATGTGTCAAGGCCGGATGGTTCGTCGCAGGCGATAGCAGTGTAGGTCAGGTTCGGTTGGAGCCGGGTCTATGTTGAAGCGGGGGGTTTTTCGCCGAGATCGTTGTAAGGCGGGGAGTCTGGTATGCATAAATCTATTTGTGCCATACAACTGATGCTGTTTCTTGCATCTTGTGCAGAGCGGTTCGTCGGAGCTGATGGGCGCTGCCGAGTTGAGGTGACCGGACTCGATGACGGGCGTGGTGCTCGAGATTGATACTGCGGCTGTTGCTGCTCCTGCTACCGTTGCCTTGGGGAGTTGAAGTGCAAGTGTCCTGTCGTGCGGCACCGATGACAATATGGAGGTGAGTGTCATTTCTGTTGGTGTTGGTTGTTGTGGTTACGGCCGTGTGCGTAGAACATGAGTTGCTGACTCGGTTTCTTTGCATGTCGTTTTTCGTACAGGTCCATGTCTTGTTGCTCGGCATGGAGCTCCGCGCACAAGTGCATCTCAGAGATTCTCCCGTGAGCGCGTAGGAGGGAGGGCGTCATACGCCACTTGGGACCGAGGCCAGCAAGGACAACTGTGATGAATGAGTCCTCCAAAAAGTGCCCTCCACTTCGTAGAAGCTTGTCTCGTAACCCTCTGCAGCGATTGATGTAAGGCATTGCCTTTTCTCCTGGTTGCATCTGGATTTTCGTGAGTTGTGCCATTAGTCGGCTCTGTTGTTAGTTGCCTGGTAGATGCCCTTTAGGTGGCAATATGCTAGTTCTGCCGAGTTGCAGAAGTTACGAGATGTCCTGATGCTTTGCTGCTCCGTTGCTGTCAGGTTGCGTAAGAGAATGGCGAAGGCCATCAGCGACTGATAAGTGTAGACTTTCTTCTCTTGAGTAGTCCCATTTAAAGGAAATGGCCAGGAGCCGGTGAAGAAGCCGAGCATTTGCGCACCGTCCATCAGCAACTCAAACTCGAAGCTCCATGCGAAGAAGTCCTTCCCGTTGAAAGGTGAGGACGTTTGTAGTTTTAGGATGTTGTTGAACTGTTGTTGCATGGTGACGATGTCTGGCTGCTTGTCAGCTGTTGTTGAGTCCACTGACGACGTGGGAGTCTGCAGGAAGGTGAAAGAGCATGGCGAAGGCTGGTATGGTTGATGTTGTGTAGGTTGTATGTCTCTTGCGTATGATGCACCGTCGAGACTCATGGGGACTTCTCCACTGTTGTTGTTGTTGTGTGCTGATTGAGTAGGTGGCGAGGGCTGCTCATAGATCGACATGAAAGAGAAGAATTTCTCCATCAGGTTCGGGTCCATGCCCGTGGAGGAGGCCACTGGTTGCGTGGAGGCTCCTGTGGCTGCAACTCCTTGAGTCTGTAGTCCAGAGACTGGGGGTGCAGAGGGGGATCCAGTAGAGGATCTGTCACCCTTAGATGGTGACATGTCTTGAAATCTTGAATTGATAAGTTGAAGTTGTTGCAAGTGAATCGTCAAACGAGTTAGAACCTCACCGAGGCAGTTTGTAACAGGAGCGTAGCTTCTGACTAGCTCTCATACCATTTTAGGCTGAGTTTAGCCCAAGGATTTTTTCAGAAGGCTAAGTCCTTGTAATAGAGTGCTTGATAGCACAGCGGAAGTCTTGAGTTGAATCCTTGTGCTGGTATGTGAGAATAAGTGATTGATTATAGCAAAAGGATACAAGGTTTTATAATAATACAAGAGAATATGAAGAGTCTAACCATTTGTGCACTTCAAGGGGTACATTCCCTTTTACGACTCGATAAGGCGACTCGGGTAACCACCCGTAGTGTAATATCGGGACGGTTATTTGTCCTTACTGTCGCGCTGACTCTTCATACTTCCGATTCTGACTGTTGGGTTGCACGGTCGACGGTCCGTGACCATTGCCCTTTCGTAATCTCTGCGACGTGTCGTCAACCTGTGTGAATCGTCGGTGGTACTATAGCAATGTTGATTCGGTAATCCTCGTTGTTGTAGTCTTCGCGTATTAGAACACTCACGCGAGACTCCAGAAATGTCTTTAAGTCCTTTTATCATTTCCAACAACTACCACTATCTATGCTAAGGTGTGTATGAACAAATATAATCACGGTTTAGCTAGTTATATTTGTATATAGCCTAGTAGGTCAATTCTTCACAATAAACTACAGTACTAGGGTGATGACACGCCACGCGGCAAAAATATTCCGCAGGTAGCAGGTTTGAGGCCCGATGACACACGTGGCCGAGGGGGGGAGGGGGGGAAGGGGGGGGTGGGGGGTGGAACCAGGTTATTAGATGGGCTCAATGTACCGCCCAACAGAGAGGGGGTAGAGTAGGTGAACTGTCGAGATCGTGATCGTTGATCGACAAGATATTTCTCAACTTGATGTGTTGCGATTGACTTTGCCAGCAACATTCTCGCCAGTTAAAAGCGATTTTGATTGGCTACACTGGAGAATGGCTTAACGTGCTTGTGCCCAGACTTCGCGACCAATGAGACTCCTTTTCTACGAAAATATTTTCGCGCCCACTTCGCCTTCCAGCTCAAATTGTGAGTCTAATCAGAGCCCCGTAGAAACACTCTTAGACGGAAATATACGTGCTATCTGATAATTCATACGACTGCCTACACCAAGTCTGAGAATTCTTATGGGTTTATATAACCAAGATGGTCGTTCAGATGGAAAATTATGGGCTGTCAAAAAATCAGATGACACGGGAAAAGTGAGTTTGGTTCTCAGATGAAAAGACGGATTTCGTCTGCTAACGGGAACCCTGGTCAACAAACTGTGGATCGTTGCCCTTCCTTGACTATTCAGACGCGTACTCTATATTAGTGTATCTAAGTACGCCTGCGCAGTCTCTAGGGCCTGACAGCGGGGGCGCTCAGACAGGGGGAGAGCGCGACTGATAGCAAGCTGCGCAACTGCGTCGCGCGACTCCCAGACTGAGTGAGCGAGTTCAGCAACTGCACAACGAGGCCGGCGTGACGAGGGCAGCGTGTAGTGACGGGGCCGGCGCGTTCTAGCGGGGCCGGCGCGGCGAGATGGGGCCGGGGCAGAGAGACGGGCCGGCGCGGCGTGACGGCGCCGTTGCGGCTTGACGGGGCCGGCGTGGTCTAGCGGGGCCGGCGCGGCGGGACGGGGCCAGTGCGGCGTGACGGGGCGCGGGCTAAGGTGCGGTCTAAGGCTAGGGCTAAGGCTAGGGGCGGAAGCGTAGGCGGGGAGGGGGACCTAACCTAGCGTGATACCATATCATAAAGTCACTAGTCCTAACCACTGGGACAAGAAGGGATGTCATCAGGAGGGTTAGGCTCCATATATCCACCTTCCTGGGGGGAAGCTTCCCCAGTACCCTCCCTAGAGAGAGAGAGAGAGAGAGAGAGAGAGAGAGAGAGAGAGAGAGAGAGAGAGAGAGAGAGAGAGAGAGAGAGAGAGAGAGGGAGAGAGAGAGAGAGAGAGAGAGAGAGAGAGAGAGAGAGAGAGAGAGAGAGAGAGAGAGAGAGAGAGAATCGACAGGGTTATCCCAGTGCCATGACAACCTGTACAGTGGTTGTTCCACTTCCTCACTCCATATCTTATGGAATGCAATTTAGTTATCTCAACAGTTACCACCCGCTTCTCCCGTTGCATTTTTTTATTGATTTGACACACATGAGCAATGCCGAGTCACTCTTTGGAATAAGCCCGAGCTCTTCGAGCCACACTCGAAACTCACACACTGTCTAAATATCTAGGCTGTTGGGCTGAGAAAAGCCCTTAGGATCTTTGCAGAGACTAAGTCCAGCTGTAGAGACTTGAGGCTTGGAGTAGTGCAGCGGAAGTTGAGGCAGTTGAACCCTTGTACTAGTATGTGAGAACAAGTGATTAATTAAGGAAACAAGCATACAGCAATATATAAAAGATAAGAAAGCAATTGTAGAGCACAGTTACAGGAACGGTTTATCGAGTCGCACAGCGACTCGATTGCTGCTTCGGTTACCATCCATGATGCTGTAACGGTCAGTCGCAACCTCCAGTTGCGACCTTTCGCATTCTTTGTCCGCCCCCTCGTGTAACCTCCGTTGACGCGCGTGCTCCCTTGTAGTCTTCCTCGAGTGTAGTGTTACACTTCAGAAACGCTTAAGTTCTTTGAGATATTTCCAACACTCCCCTTCGTTTCTGGAGTGCTGTTATGTTCGAATCTGGTGACGTTTGTCTGTCCGGTCAGCAGCATGCAGTGGTCGAATTTTGTCTTCGCCAATTTCTTCGTCAAATAGTCTGCGGCCATTTCTGTCGTCGGGCAGTAACTGAGTTGAAGTCTCCCCTTCGCGATTTCATCCTTGACGAAGAAGTACCGTAGAGCGATGTGCTTGGTTCGGTTGGCGAAGCCATCCTTGTTCGCGATTTTGATCGCGGATTGGTTGTCGCAGAGGAGTGAGAAGGCGGGTAGGGTCGCGATCTTCGCTTCCTCGAGTAACTCCCGTAGGTAGAGTCCTTCCTTGGTCGCAGTACAAAGGGCGATATACTCTGCTTCAGCCGAGGATAGTGCGATTAACTCTTGCTTGCTCGACTGCCAGGAGATAGTTCCGATGGGCTCTAGTCGGTAGATGTAGCCCGTCCTGGATCGTCGATTTTCCTTATCTCCCGCGTGGTCGGCGTCGACGTATCCGAGTAGTCGTACGGACGGTGTTGTTGCTTTGCTGTAGGTAAGCCCGATCGTCGGCGTGGAGACGAAGTAGAGTAGTGCCCGGTTGAGCTCCTCGAGATCTTCCTGTTCCGGTTGCTTCAGATGTGTCGCCAGTTGACTTGCACTGTAGGACAGGTCGGGTCGGCAGGTTACTGCTGCGAATAGTAGGCAGCCGAGCTTCTGTTGATACTCCTGGATTTGCTTCGCGGGGAGTTTTGCGGAGGCGCTGTTGTTATTTCCGTAGCGGTAGGGGGTCGGGACCGTAGTCGGCGTCAGTCCGAATTTCTTCGCGATAGTGCCTGCGTACTTTCCAGCGTGTAGGTAGAACGCCGAGTTGTCTTCGACGACATTTAGTCCCAAGTACTGGGTCACTGAGTCGGCCACCGTGATCGCCAGGTCTCCTTTCAGCTCCCCTTCGAACCAGGTGGCGATGTCGGTGGTAGAACCGATGTAGAGTAGGTCGTCGACATAGACGATGAGTAGGATGTATTCTCTTCCCTGCTGCAGTCGGTACATGCCTTGGTCATGCGGTAGCTGTAGGAATCCATTTTTTACGAGCCGGCCGTGAAGATGCTGCTGCCAGAGCCGCGGGGCTTGCTTGATCCCGTAAAGGGATTTTGTCAGTTGGCATACTTTCGTGGGGTCGTCGATGAATCCGTGGGGTTGTTCGACGAAAATCTCGACGTCCACAGGTGCGTATAGAAACGCATTCGCGACGTCGATTTGTCGTAGTGGTAATGTCTTCGTGGCCGCGACGGAGAGTAGGATGCGTAATGAGGTGTGACGGGAGACTGGAGCGAAGGTTTCTGTGTAGTCGGTCCCGTATCATTGGTCGAAGCCTCGTACGACCTATCGAGCTTTGAAGCGTTCGATGGAGCCGTCTGAGTTGGTCTTAATGCGGTACACCCATTTCCCCGAGAGGACGTTTTTTCCGTTGATGCTTGTTGCAGGTACCAGTTTCCATGTTTTCCAGTCTTGCAGAGCTTTTAACTCCTTTTCCATCGCTTCCTTCCATTTCGCCTTATATTCCCCCCCCAGAGCCTGCGACAGGGTCGAGGGCTCGCGCGGAGAAGGCGGCGGCGGTTGCTGGACGGAGACCCATAGGCCTAGGATCTGCAGTCCTGTGGCTGTGTATCGAGGGGAATTTTTATTCTCGGGATAAGCTGCTTCATCACCGTCTTCAGGATCGGGTAAGAAGCTTGGGCCGATGCGTTCGGAAATATTCGTGTCGACGGGGTGAGGTGTAGCGTAGCCTTGGTCGGCGAAGTGGTAAAAGGTGTCGAGGTTGTTGCTATCGAGGGGATTATCTCCGTCGAGTGGAACAGGTACGGAACAGTAGGGGAGTGGTCCGGCAGCTTCCGAGGCTCCAGGTACGTCTTCTTCTGCTGCGTCAGCCTCCGCAGTATGGTCAGCGAAGGAGCGAAGGCCCGCGAGGCCGTCGGTGGGGTCTTGTGTGTTGGCAAGGTTGTCCAGGTAATGCTGCAGCGTCAGTCGTTCGTAGAAGATAACATCTCGTGATGCCACCGTGTTTTTGTTTTGTATGTCGAGAATTTTCCACGCGTGAAAATGTTTGGCGATGCCGAGGTGTAGTCCCCACCGAGCTCGTTGTGTGAAGCGTCCTGCTCGGGCTGTGTGGGGTCTGTACTGTACCATGCAGCCAAAAACTCTGAGTAATTTTGTGCTGCCCCTTTTTCTTGTCCACAACAGGTGCGGTGATGCGTTGTTGGGAAGTGATGACGAGGACAGCAGGTTGTGCAGGTGAACAGCATGTGTCATCGCGTCGGGCCACAGTGTGGTTGGCAGTCTCATCCCCTGAAGCAGTTTTCGCATTGTCGTCTGCAAGGTCCGATTCATGCGTTCTGCGACCCCCTGCTGTTGGTGAGCATAGGGCAGGGACACCAGGCGTCTGATTCCTTTTTCCGCCAGATAGGTCCTGAAGCGTTGTGACTGGTATTCCAGTGCACCGTCTGACTGGAAGCTCTTGAGTTTGAGTCCTGATTCTCGTTCGGCGATGGGAAGCCATGTTGTGAAGGCTTCGAAGGCTTGATCGCGCGTCTTGAGATTGAAGTGCCAGACATATCTGGTTGCGGCGTCGATGAACGTGATGACGTAGTTGAAGTCGGCTTCGGTGTCGTCTCGAGGCATGTTTAAAATATCGCTGTAGACCTTTTCCATCGGAGCGTAAGTAGGTGCGCTTGGGTTGTGATGGGATGGGAAAGGTTGATGAGGAAGATCTGCTTCGGGGCATGTGAAGCACCGTGCGCGTGGTCGTCGAAGTTCTTGGCCGCTCGTCGTCAGAAGGGCGTTGCGTTCTAACACATCTGCTTGGATTGTTTGAAGTATCGTGTTGTTTGCAGGATGTCCGAGACGTTGGTGCCAGATGTCGTCGGGAGCGCGGTGACCGGGCGAGCGGTGGTAGATGTCGGCGTTGGAGAAGAACGCGACGACCGAGGCGGGACTTCGACAAGCTTCGCGTGTGGCGGGCATTAGTTGGTCTGCTTCGGTTGGCGGTCCTCGGGTCGCTGGTGGTGGGACTCGGCTGGGTCCTGCTGCCGATACTACAGGTGATGGTTTGGTTGGGATACTTGCGGGTACTTGTCTTTCTTGTCTGATAACTGCTAATGCTCGTGTTCTCTCTGCTGCAGGTATGGTGTTGGAGTGCCAGAAGCCATCACTGTCGAAGTCGGGATCAAGATCCGGCGGGTGAGTCCAGGCGGCGAACGATACGATACCGTCGCTGTCGGCAGTACCGCGGTCGGGGACGAAGTCCAACACGAAGACGCCAGACTTCAGGAGGGCACGACCGATGAAGAGGCCGCCCTTCCCGTGGTAAAGCCGAAACTCGTTGGAGTTGGAGTCGCACTCCAGGTGAATCCCCTTGGCCATTAGTTGGCTTACGCTTAGTAGGTTGTATCCCAGATTGTCGACAATGAGCACTTTGTTGAGCTGAAGTATAACGTTTGTCTCCATGGATTGTAACTGAACCACGCCTTGTCTGTTTGTCTTCAGGTTTTCGTTGTTGGCGACGGTGATGACGACGTCGCGGTTGAGGCGTTTCTCCTGTTGCACGAAGCGTCCCGAGGAGCACATGTGTTGACCGCAGCAGCTGTCCAAGAACCAGGTGTTTCGCCCGGTGGGTTCGGCGTTGGCGACCGCAGCATATGTTGGATTGACTTGAAGGCCTTGTGAGCGCGGTGGCGGCAGCTCTTCTTCGTCTGGCGCGTAGGTGGGTGGTGATCTGGGTGCGCAGTTGTCGATGTGTACCATGCAATTGATAATGTTTGGTGTTTGTTGTGCAGATGTTGAAGAGCGCCTTGGGGAACTTGCTTGAGTGGAAGCGACTTGTGGGTCTGCTGGACGGTAAACGCGAGGGCGGTTGCAGTTGACTTTGGAGTGCCCGGAAGTCTGGCAGTTGTGGCAGAACGGCGGTACGATGGTGAGTCCTCGGGTGTCGCGTTGATCTTGCTTGTTGCGTCGGTTGTAGTTGTTGTCATTTCTTCTTTGAGTGTAGAAGACTAACTGCTGTTGCTTCCTTGGTTGTCTTTCCTCGAACAGGTCCATCTCCTGTTGTTCAGCGTGAAGCTCGGCGCAGAGGTGCATCTCCGAAATTCTTCCGTGGGCTCGAAGAAGTGATCGTGTGGTTCTCCATTCTGGCCCGAGCCCGGCGAGGACAAGTGTTACGAAGCTTTCTTCAGTGATCGTTCCTCCGCACCGAAGCAGGCGGTCGCGGAGGGTCTGGCAGCGACTCATATACTGCATCGCCTTTTCCCCGGTCTTCATCTGTATTGTTGTCAGCTGTTGCATGAGTCTGCTTTGTGTCACGCTGTCGTTTGCTTGATAGAGGCACTTGAGATGATGCCATGCGAGTTCCGCGGAGTTTCCATAACTCCGATACGTTCTGATGCTCTGCTGCTCTTGTGGTGACAGGTTTCTCATGAGAACCGTATACGCCAGCAGCGACTGATACGTGAAGATTTCTTGTTCCTTTCCAGTGCCGTTGCTTGGGAATGGCAGGGACCCGTTGAAGTATCCCAGAAGATGCGCGGCCTCCATCAGCAGCTCGAACTCGAAGCTCCAGGTAAAGAAGTCGTGTCCGTTGAACGGTGAGGATGTCTGCAGTTTTATCACGTGCGAGAACTGCGCCTGGAGACTTAGGATTTCGTTTGGTGTTTGTTGTGATGCAGCTGCTGTTGGTTGGGCACGGGGCGGCATAAACTCGAACGTCCCCGGTGAAGAGTGATAAGGCGCAAAAGTAGGTGCTTGATTGTGTCGCCCGAAGGATGAGTTGTCGAGGCTCATCGGCGCTAATCCCATATTCCCTCCATTGCTCTGTGTTGAGTGCGCAGGTGTCCTTGTCTGCTGCTGCTGGTCGAAGTGTGACATGAAGCTGAAGAATCTCTCCATGAGATTCGGGTCCACACTTGAAGAGGGAGACGGAGTCACCATCTCCGGTGCTCTTCCCGTTGTTTCTTGAGCAGTCCCGGTCTCTGTCTGCAGTCCTGAGGTGTGCAGACCAGAGTTGCCGTGTTGAGTTTCTTGGGCGCTGGGTGAGCCCGTAGAGACTTTCTTGCCCTTGTTGTCCATGTCTTGTAATCAATGGAGTTGTTGAATCAAGTTGAGTTGCTGGTTGTTGATGGAGTGTAGTTGCTGGGAGTTTGGTCTCTGACCAGCTCTGATACCATGTTGGGCTGAGAAAAGCCCTTAGGATCTTTGCAGAGACTAAGTCCAGTTGTAGAGACTTGAGGCTTGGAGTAGTGCAACGGAAGTTGAGGCAGTTGAACCCTTGTACTAGTATGTGAGAACAAGTGATTAATTAAGGAAACAAGCATACAGCAATATATAGAAGATAAGAAAGCAGTTGTAGAGTACAGTTACAGGAACGGTTTATCGAGTCGCACAGCGACTCGATTGCTGCTTCGGTTACCATCCATGATGCTGTAACGGTCAGTCGCAACCTCCAGTTGCGACCTTTCGCATTCTTTGTCCGCCCCCTCGTGTAACCTCCGTTGACTCGCGTGCTCCCTTGTAGTCTTCCTCGAGTGTAGTGTTACACTTCAGAAACGCTTAAGTTCTTTGAGATATTTCCAACACTCCCCTTCGTTTCTGGAGTGAGAGAGAGAGGGAGAGAGAGAGAGAGAGAGAGAGAGAGAGAGAGAGAGAGAGAGAGAGAGAGAGAGAGAGAGAGAGAGAGAGAGAGAGAGAGGATCGACAGGGTTATCCCAGTGCCATGACAACCTGTACAGTGGTTGTTCCACTTCCTCACTCCATATCTTATGGAATGCAATTTAGTTATCTCAACAGTTACCACCCGCTTCTCCCGTTGCATTTTTTTATTGATTTGACACACATGAGCAATGCCGAGTCACTCTTTGGAATAAGCCCGAGCTCTTCGAGCCACACTCGAAACTCACACACTGTCTAAATATCTAGGCCATGTCAGTTGATGTTACCCGTTGCGCTCTTCCACCTAAATGGTTCTCTTAGCGTGTACCTTCAACCCAATTTGGTATTTACGTTTTTATGCTATTTCATCTCCGATAACCGTTCGACTACACTTGAATACGGATCCTAACAAATCCCAACATGACCCAACCCCACGAGGTTTGATGGCCCAAGGTTGACCCCGAATCACACTAAACCGTCGCAAAAATACTCTGCACCCGCGTCGAACCCCGCAGCATTCACAATTCCGAGGAAAACTGAACCTCACTGTCACTGCGTCCAATCCCGCAGCAAGAGCACGAGCAACCTAAACCCTGACATGAGCATTGTGATGACGTAATGATCGTCGTGTGCGGCTGTTAGCCTCACCTTCAGGACGAGGTACGGTCGTCGTCATCAGCCGATCATATCACGTCATAGCTTGCAGCGGCTGAGCTGATTCCTTGGGCGCAATGGTCGCCTCGTTCAGAGCCTTGGTTCCTTGGGCGTAATCATGGTCCCTTCGCCTGAGCGTGATGACGAGAGTGGTGGTTCGTCTCTCCGTTACGGTCGCTGCCAGTCTCACCCGAGAGTTCCGCCAGTGCACTGACTGAATCTGACGAAGCAATTTTTCAGGTGGAGATGAGATCGCACGCGATCACGTAACTCAGCTGCAGCTGCAAATAGCCGAACCGTTTCGTCATGGCTTCAACTCGTCTTACCAGAGACGTCCGTTTCCGCGCGGCGATGGTTGCGTAGTTGGCGTCGCCTGTTCGCCTGCAGCTGTCGGTTGAGAAATTCAAATAGCGAATCTTTCCTTTATGGCTTCCACAAGCCTGACGCCGAGGCCTCCGATAGCGTCTACACCTGGACCTTTCGGTACAACCATTGTTCGCTTCTCAATACAAGCACCTCGCGATTGCGATGCAACTTGGAGCAGCGCTCTACGCGCCGCACCGCGTTCGCTGGCTCTCAACCCGACAACACCGTTAGGACTCAGACTTTTGAGTTCTTTACCAATCGACCGATGCACTCTTCGGGCGAGGGCTGATTTCAGGCAGAAGGGGGGTAAGAAGCTGCGGACTATGAGAGACACTACACGTGCAGACTCAAGGCCTGGCAAAAGTCTGATGCGGAAAAGCCTTAGCAGCAGCAGGAGGAGCGACAGAAGCAGTAGCAGTTATGGCTGCAGTAGCAGCGACAGAAGAAGCAGCAGCTACAGTGGCAGCAGAAGCCGCCGCAGCAGCAGCAGCAGCAGTAGCAGTCTAAGGGCCAGTAGCGGCGATAATGGTTCCCATAGAAGCAGGAGTGACGTCAGCGGTGACGTAGATATCGTACCCGAAGCTTCTGCTGAGGCTACAGCTTCTGTCTCTCCCAGCGGACGACAGATAGAGGTGGATGGGAGCAGATTCAGAGAGAACCCCAGGAGAGTGGAAGCAGAGGAGATGCAGAGAGGGGGAAAGCAGGACACAGATGCGGGAAGGCGTGTGGAGCTGGGTTATATGCAAAGTGGGAGTTTGAAGGAGGCGGGAACACTCGAAATGGGATGTGATGATGATGTTGACGCGGATCAGTTTGTAATGAGGACGTTGCTGATTGATAACTACGACAGCTACACCTTCAATTTGTTTCATCTGCTGGCGGATGTGAATGGAGGTACGTGGATGTGAATGGAGGTACGTGGATGTGAATGGAGGTACGTGGATGTGAATGGAGGTACGTGGATGTGAATGGAGGTACGTGGATGTGAATGGAGGTACGTGGATGTGACTGTATCAGAGCAGTATGTCAATGGAGGGGTGGAGCGACCATAACAGCATACTCATAGAAGTGAATGTGGATGTGATTAGGTGAACTGGAGCTGTATGCCGGGTGTGACCGTGTGAGTGCAGCAGCGGCGTGTTGCGGGGGCACTGGCCGTGCTTCAAGGACCTCCTGCTGCACCCCCCACCACTCCCTCGCACTCTCCCCTCTGTGTCTCACGATCTGCCCATCTGTCTCTGTCTCTGTCTCTGTCTCTGTCTCTGTCCCCGCAGTCCCCCCTGTGGTGGTGCGCAACAACGAGGTGGGCTGGCCGTACCTGAGGGATCTGCTGCTGCACCAACGCCTCTTCCACTCCATTGTCATCTCGCCTGGGCCCGGCACCCCCTGCTGCCCGGCTGACATCGGTATGTGACATTGGTGCACGGATGGAGTGATCTCTCTCGTTGTGCGTCCGTGTGTGAGAGAGAGTATGAGAAGGGTCAAAGGAACCGCTCCATGAATCCCACCGCCAAGCCAACATTGGCGAGGCAGCGGGTCAGAGTCAGAGGGACTGTCCCACGTGGCCCTGGCAGCGGTCTGGCGTTCTTGCAAGGTCCTGGCAACCCGTGTCCCCTTGCCGACTTTGGTGTGTGACTAATTCGTGTCCTTGCGTGCTCTGTGCATCCGTGTGTGTGTGTGTGTGTGTGCGCGCGCGCTTGGCTGAATGTGTGCCTGGCTGTATGTGTGCCTGGCTGAATGTGTGCCTGGCTGTATGTATGCCTGGCTGTATGTGTGCCTGGCTGTATGTGTGCCTGGCTAAATGTGTGCCTGGCTGTATGTATGCCTGGCTGTATGTGTGCCTGGCTGTATGTGTGCCTGGCTGTATGTATGCCTGGCTGTATGTGTGCCTGGCTGTATGTGTGCCTGGCTGTATGTGTGCCTGGCTGTATGTGTGCCTGGCTGTATGTGTGCCTGGCTGTATGTGTGCCTGGCTGAATGCGTGCCTGGCTGTATGCGTGCCTGGCTGTATGCGTGCCTGGCTGTATGTGTGCCTGGCTGTATGTGTGCCTGGCTGAATGTGTGCCTGGCTGTATGTGTGCCTGGCTGTATGTGTGCCTGGCTGTATGTGTGCCTGGCTGTATGTGTGCCTGGCTGAATGTGTGCCTGGCTGTATGTGTGCCTGGCTGTATGTGTGCCTGGCTGTATGTGTGCCTGGCTGTATGTGTGCCCGGCTGTATGTGTGCCTGGCTGTATGTGTGCCTGGCTGTGTGTGTGCTTGGCTGTATGTGTGCCCGGTTGTATGTGTGCCCGGTTGTTGTGTGTGTGCCCGGCTGTATGTGTGCCCGGTTGTGTGTGTGTCCGATTGTATGTGCACCCGGTTGTGTGTGTGCCCGGCTGTATGTGCTGGGCTGGCAGGGGTGTGTGCGGATGTGCTGAGGGAGTGCACCGACATCCCC